ATAAACTCTATTATTATATAAACATAAGTGTTATATACAGTATAGAGTTGTTGGCCACTGAGAAAAATCGTATTTAAACACACGTAAAAAATACGATATTTTTACTTGTGAAAATATCATTTGTTGTAAAACGTATTGCCACGGACGTTTTATTGTTTTTCACTGCATTTTGTTTATATAATAAACAGAAAAATACATGGGTGCGTGGAAACACCAGATTTATTTCTCGTGTTGAACATGATATCTCACGAGTGAGCGCAGCGAACGAGTGAGATATCATGTTCAACACTCGAAATAAATTTGGTATTTTTTTGCGCACCCATGTATTATTATTCTCTCTCTGTATCATCGTCTCGTGTTGGCCTTTCCGTTTTTGCCACGGCATACTTCTGCATGCATGACACATTTGGACTAGAAGGCAACATGATTATAATAACGAATGTGTTGTATGCACACATGCAGTTCTGAAAGATTTATTTTATTTTTTGGTTTTATAGGTAATGTGAGCTATTACCCTAATCACATGGCAGCAATATCTTATGATGAGGCTCAGTCACGCTGTGAAAAAAGTGGCTATAATCTAGCAAGTTTTACTAGCCAGGCGGAGATTGGCCAAATGGAAACAGTTATGACTGACAAAAACTGGGAATACTGGACAGGACTTAAGTATACAAAGTCCACTGACTCTTGGAAATTTACCGATGGAACCGATACCCAGTTCGCGTCACGCTTGCTTTGGCTTAGCAATACAAACTCACAATGCGTGCTGATTCGTGGTGACGGAACATTACGTGCAACTCACTGTGATGGTGATTGGAAATATATTTGTTGTCGTGTTGATCAAGATCACCCTCGAACAGTTCCTCCTACTTCATCAGGTTAGAGCTAGTAAATTAGTATCGCTTCATCTTTGATAGGCAAGACCTAACTCAGTTATCTTTTCGTAATAAAATCTATAATATCTTGCACGTTTAAGCTATATCCATAGTATATGGAACTTGCAATTTGTATGGAAATTAGATTTCCATACTATTTTCAACTAAGTTCCATATAAACAGCTATTTCAATTAAGGTTGTCCACGAGCAAAGCGGAAAAAGTTTCCTGAGTCTGCATGTTGTGGTATATAGGCTAGAATGTGTTTTCAGAATTTAACAAAATGTATGTTATTCTATAAAATAAAACGTACAAACAGCGCTTCATTTGTATGAGCTGTATAAAGTTCTTTATATCGGGAAAATGTTATTTTTATAACTCTATAGTCCCTGCGAATATAGTAAATTCTAAATGCACACAATTCGTTTTTCTAGTCTATGTTGACAAATGGACTAATTGCGCACGTCTTGCCCAACTAGGATACTGTACCAGGTGGTTTTTTCGCTTGGTCATGACCAGATACTGCCAAACCTTTTGCGGTAAGTATTAAGGAAAACTGTTTTATTATATCGTTTTAAATTATCCTAATTAGAAAATAATTGTTTAGTGCTGATAAACATATTAATTCTCCAATGCTCAGATCCATACAAATTGGACAAAACTGCTTAGAATTTTATTGTTTGGAAATGTATTTCGGTTGTTCGTACATGGAGAGAAAGTGTCAAATACTGTCATGTTTATAATGTCACTTTAGACACTTGTGAGTTGTATGTCAACGCGTATTTCGACTTGTTATACTGTACTGTAAATATAATTTAGACATAGTTAGAAAATTGCCTAATTAGTAAATTGGGGCTTTCTCGAGGTATGAACAACTGAATTGTAGTACTGGTTAATACTTTACATTGTACCCATGATTTAATTTGTTCATACTCCTATAGGAAATACTGAAAATAGTCATGTTTAATGTTATTGTTGTTGTGTCTATATAGTCTATATAGAGTTTAGGAGGACAAGATTGGAAAAAAGTTGTAACTTTATGTGTTTATCCTCAATAAATAAAGTGTTATTATTATTATTATTTCCGAAATGGAGGTTTCTATAGTGTATATATATTCCTTTTGACGAAAAAATTGTCAAAATTTAGTACTCCAGCTGGAGAAAATAGACCATGTGAGGAATGGAGCAATAAACTATTGCACAACACCAGGGGCGAATCTATCCTTATCTGTAAGGAAGGTCCAAGTTGTCCATACTGCCCACTCTCCTCTGCAGTCTGGGACAGACAACACTATTTCACAACACCAGGGGCGAATCTGTCCTCATCTGCATCACAGATTAAGTACATACCAGATGTGTAACTTCATAGGACTTCGTGTCCACAAATTTCCCTGAGCTGTGCACGTATGCACACGTCATGACACTTGTTAGGAAGATGGCGGAGTAACATGGCGTCAGCCCGAACATCTTTTGCATCAGTGTTTTGCATTATTTCGCGGTCTTATTGGATCGAACTTTTTGGATTGAAGTCATTGAACAATCAGGACCTTTTTGGATTGAAGTCATTGAATGTTAAATGAAATTTACAATAATGGCCATTAAGATGTTTTTAGAAGGGCATGAAAGCAATGACGTATTACCAAATAACGAATTATCCAGCGAGCGACACTTGCTAGGAAGATGGTGACCGTGGGACAACTTTTTTACTGAAGTTACAAATCTGTTCATACTTAATCTGTGTTTGCAAGGAGGGTCCAGGTTTTTCATACTGCCCACTCCCCTCTACAGTCTGGGACAGCCAACAACAGGTGGGATGTGCCCCACCCCCTGCACCACTATTGCAAAACACCAGGGGCGAATCTATCCTCATCCTGCCCACTCTCTTCTGCAGTCTGGGATAGACAACACTAGTTGAGGTGCGCACACTCCTCCGCCCCCCCCTGAACCCCCATGGTAGATCCGCCTCTGCACGGCATATACACTTCACGAATGTCGATAACATTTTGTTCTGTGAATGAAATGTCAACATGCGGAAAATCGGAAATGATGTTTTTCTTACTGATTTATGTGTTTAATATAATTTGTCACCACAAGAAGTTACGAAAGGCGGCAGAAACAGGACATAAGTCTCAATTGATATCTATCACTAACCTTACCACTTTTTCTTTTTTCAAGGAAATGATAAAAGTGTCATTACAGCTAACATAACTCTTGGAGGAAGTGGAATAGTCGAATTAATTTCAAAGCCTAGTGAAGCCGCTGTGGCAACAGCGACTACTGGGCAGCAAGCATCTAAATTTACATCACCAGCTGACACGCAAAATGTGACAATAATAGCTGCAAAAAATCCGGGCTCTTCTGCTGCAGGAATACTTGCCTCATTCAGCAATGGAATTGTCACAGATGATTCGTGGAGATGTAGGAAAGACCCTAGCAATCTTAATAAATGGGAAAAAGCCTCAACATATCGTAGAAATGATTTGAACATTAGCTGGAACCAAGCCATTTCGGAAATCAAACAGAATGCGCAATGGATATGGGTAAAAGATTTGAGTGCATCCAGGGTGCAGTGTAAGCGAAACCTAGGTGAGTCATGCATGAGGTACCTTGTATCATATCCGAAACAATTTAGCATTATGTATATAGCCAGTTTTCCACTATGCGAAAGTTTGCGCGCGGAGCAGAATTTTTCGTGGTCTTGAGATTTCTCGGGTGAAATTACTGATTAGAAAAAAACACAGAAAATGCTTGTCCACACCGCCCAATTTCCGCCCAGTGGAAAAACAGCTTACGATTGCTAATATTTTGCTTTCCTGAGCTGAAAAGTGT